GCTTAGTTAGATGAAGGCAGATGAAGAAGACATGGAGTAAGCTAAACTACACACAATGTTATGTTATTTGTATGACTAGTTTAGCTTGAACATCTGTCAGGGTACCGCGAGGTCTTAAAAACTCTAAAATTCTGAACTTTAAATTTAAGGCTTTAAAACATCTTAAAAAAGGACAGATTTTCATCTGTGGTCTTTAATTTAGTCAGGTCTTAAAGTTTTACCCTCGTTCATTTATAGAAATGCTGGCCACAGAAAGTTATTACAAAGTAGCTAAAAAAGTATCGAGTTGTAGCCTAAAAAGCAGAGCTCTAGTGCAGGGGTCGCCAACACGTCATTCGCGAGCTCCAGTAGCTCATGAATTTAGTTGAAGGAGCTCGCCAACAGGCTGTTCACATAACGCATCTTTTGCGTGCTCAAGTTCGTTCAAATGTAGGCTGCGGTAAGCATGCTCATTACTGAGGCGACACGTTAATTTTTTACCAGGCGCAGTGAGATGTGAGAAAAAAGTGAGAGAAAAAAAAACAAAAACACTACAGATATTTCGGTTGAGGAAAGCCAGCTACTACTAAAACGTCGTTGTCATTGTGGAGAGTGCAATGCATGGATGCATAGCAACGACAGACCCCACGGGAAAATCAGACCAAATTTTACTATTAATAATAAAAGATAAGCTAAAGTGCATTGTAAATGTCTGTGAGTGTTTTGAGATTGCACATTCCAAGCCATATACAACAGTGCTCGTGTCAGTAATATTGATGAGATGTGTTCTGCAACTTGTTACAGGCTGTTGGTGGAGTAGAACCCCTTGTTTTCAAATCTTCCCTGTGTTCAACTCCTGCGAAGGACGGGACCGACCTTACTTTGGCCTATACCTCTGGCATGTCCTTTGTTCTCACCAGCCCACAGCAACGGCTTCAACAATCCACGAAATCCCAGAGGAAGTCCTTATCTGGCAGTTACCTTGCTTTCCCTGTGTTCAGGGAGAGGCCATATGTAAGTTTGTATATTGTTTTTGTCTTACTTATTGTGATGCAATGTTTTATTATTATTAGAATTTTAAGGATTCCTTTGATTCACTTTTCAACAGCCAGATGATTGTGAAACACCAGGATGTCCTCAGTTATTGAGGATGACCCAAAAAACATCATCTTCAGCCTCAGTTCAAGCACAACCTCCAATTTAAGTTCCTCAGAAAGGCAAGGCGAGTAGGATGAAATAAAATGGATTGTGAACGAGTCTAGCCTCATGACACTGTTTATAACGTGCCATATCCATGACTGATAAAAAAGTTACAGCTGCAGGCAACCATTTAAAGATTGAATGGACATGTTTGAAGAATCACCATGGCAGGTGGGCATCATGGCCTGATGCAAGAGGAATGGCACAGAATAACCTGCTTGTTTCTGCTGCAACACTTTTCTCTGGAACGACTTTCACAGAAGTACACGAGTGGGCTATAATACTAAATTGCAACTCTTGCAGAAATCGCAGTAGGGGAGAGCGGGGAAAAACCTAACGCATTTTAGTTTTGGCTCAGTTAATTAAAAAATAATTAGGTTAGATTAAAAAATTTTTTTACACAAGCAACATACACATCTCTGCTACAAATGAACACTTAAAGTTTTTTTCTAGGACCTACCATTTTCGTACAGTTGGACTGAAAGTGACAGAAGTGCAAATGTTACAACTTACCCCATATGAGGGGTTAATTGTAACAGACAGAGGGGTTAGTTGTAACACTTGTGTGTAACACACATAATTCAGCACTATTTTATTTGTATAGTTTGATATTGTTTGTGCATCTGTATGGACAGATATCCATACATCCATCCCAGATATCCATAAATACATCAAGGATAGAGACATAGAAAAGGGCTGTACAGTTTTGCAATAAATAATAATAAATAAAATTATAAAATATTGTAATTGCAATTAAATTAGATTTGTGTGTGGCGGCCGCATGTACAATTATTATTAATAATCATAATAATAACAGTAATAATCATACAAATGAGCTTAAAATAATAATTTTAAGGGTTTATTGCATTAAAAACAGGCCATATTTTTAATAAATAAACAAGTTATCATTCATTTCATTCATTTTTTCATAAATTTTAAACATTTTAAATTACAACATTGTTTGTGGAAGTCCAACAAAGTTAAATGTATACTCAAACCTGAAAAGTTGTGAGGCTCTGTTTTCATTTGATTGTCGCTGTACACTTGGCGTCTTGTTTGTAACACTGTGTTACAACTAACCCCGCTGTATATTACATATTTTAACCCTAGCTGACAGTCGCTAGGAATTGCGGACAAGTTTCAAAACGGTGCTATGTTTGAGCCAACAAGACAGTGATTAAGGCAATATAAAGTTAAAATTGGAAACGTATACACCCAACTCAGACACTGAAAAAAATCTATGATGAAAAAATTTACTTTAATGGTGTCAAAACACTCTTTGTCAAGTATCTTCCGCAAATTCACGGGAGACCGTCTTCTGGCAGCAAGAGAAAAATATCGTAAACACAGCCTGCTTGATCCTGACAAACTATGCAAAAGGTCCGTGTTACATTTAACCCCGCGTTAGGTTGTGTCCCGCGCTCCCCTACTACTCCATTCATTCACACTACCTTATTCTAGTAGTACAGTTTGCATAAAAAGACTCATCATGAGACAAAAGGCTGAAGGCAAGTCCATAGGAGATACCATGTCTGGCTCACAAGGATTTCTTTAATACATGGAATTATGGATTGTAAGACTGTGTTAGAAGTGTTATCCTCTGGATACAAAAGCCAAGTTCACACTACAGGATTTTAAGCCCGATTTAAGCCTGATTTGCAAATCGTTGAGCTCGCCGACAGGTCAGGGTGTTATCGCGTGCAAATCTCTGGGGATTAGCGGGCGATGAACGCTTGCCAATCTGTTAGTATGAAAGAGCCAACAACGCAGCGAAGATGCTCGCAGACGCATCGCCGAGCCCAGAAAAATATCTAGCATGCTAGATATCCAGAGCCGTCGCGCAACTCAACCTCAGTGATGTCATGAGCTACAGCCAATCATAAATGAGGCCACTGGGTAGATCTTACTTTTTCTTTTTTGCATTTTTTTATTAGAGCAAATCATCGCGCAAACAGTGTACAGCACTAGTTTCTGTCTGATGCCCATATTCGCGTGTTGTGTTCTCTTCTTTGATGGTATTGCCGCACGTGCAGTTTTGTGTCATTTCTGATTCCTTTTATTGCGTGGTTTTTCGTGACAAAACGTGGTTTGTAGACAAGATAGAATTGTTAGGCGACAGAGTTGTTGTCAACTCGTTATTTATTTGATTATTTTCAAGATTTAGACAGTACCATAGTACTGAAACAGCTCTCATTAGAGTGACAAATGATTTGCTCTTATCATCCGATATTTGTATCTCTATGTAGTGCATTGTCAAATCGTAAAGTGCGTTACCTCCTGTTGTGCATCAATCACGTTGTGTTGTGTGAACAGCTAAATAACTGGAACACTCCTGATTTCACAAAGAGCAATTGTAGTGTGAACTAGGGGTTTCACAACTACTGATTTTTGCTAGTCGACTAGTTTTGCATAACAGTCGACGACTAGTCGACTAGTCGTTAAATGGTTTATTCTAGGGGTGTGCGATATCACGAATAGTAAATGTCTCCACGATCTGCTTTTGAAGAAATATGGTAGTATCGTGTTACAGTGCATTCTATCAGTTCTGGCGCCTCTGTATCAACTGTACAACGCGACGTAGCCTACACATCACACGTTAAGGAATAGGTACGGGACACTGCAATTCACAAAAGTTCATTATTTGCATAAGCCTTGCCGGTTAAACATTTAATTCACGGGCTGTTCGAAAGTGCACTTTCCTGAGCGCGCGGCATATCCCCGACGCTCACTAGAAGCCTGTCAAACAGCGCCTGAATACTGGACTAAGTTATCTTTCGAGTCTTATTATGCTAATACTGTTAAATACATTCAATGTTTACATAAACAGAATTGGCTGTGTCTAAAGTGAAAGCAAACATTTGAGAGAAAATCTGGTGTAATATGCGTCTATATTAAACACGTCGCGTGCTGGTCTAAAAGCGAGAGTAGTACACTTAAATAAAGCGCACTTAAAAGCCTTTAATTTCCTCAATCCGGCCTTTTCTCAAGCCTTATAATCCGGAGCGCATTATACATGGATCAATGCTCGCGCTCGTGTCCATCTTCTGCCCGCTTTGTCACACGGCCAGTTCAACCTCGTATAAATCAGGTTATGTGCGTCTCCCGCTCACGAGCGCTCACTCTTAACACACACACGAACAGACACTGCTGTCAGCGAGTCAGGCTGCGAATGCAAGTTACGTGCCCGCCCCACCCAGATAGCAAACTGACATTGAATCAACGTGGAAATATGACATCGAAACAACGTTGATCTGACATTGTTTTGCTCATCGAATTTACATTGAACCAACGTCAGACGCGTCATTCTTTCAAAACTAACGGAAAATCAACTTGAAATCAACGCGTTGTTTCAACGTTATGAAAGCAAACCAATTTTCGATTTTCATTTAGCTTTGAAGAATGCCGCGTCTGACGTTGGTTCAACGTTAATTCGATGAGCAAAATCAACGTTGTTTCAATGTCATGAGAGACGTCGTTTCCACGTTGATTCAATGTCAGTTTGCTGTCTGGGCAGCGCGCTCACGCTTACTAAATAAACGCCTCACCTCCGACGCCGCGCACTCGCTGCATTCCCTTTCGCACATCAGTGGATGCATAACGCAAACCCAGTCAAACATTTGAAAAATGTTCTAAAATAGGTAATTGAAGGTGCGCCGTATAACGCTTATAGTATATAGTACTGCCGCTTGTACTTAAAGGGATAGTTCACAAAAAAAATATATCTATATATGTCATCATTTTGTTTCCGACTAGTCGACTAAGGCCAACAGCGCCAACTAGTGGTTGTGACAGTCGACTAGTTGATGAAACCCCTAGTGCGAACCGCACAGTTCAGACAGACGTTTTAAAATCATGTAGTGTGAACAAGGCTTAAGGAAGACTCACATATTGTCACATTCTACAGGCTACAGCTGCAAGTATTCTCACCTATTCGTTTTTGCTTCTATCCACTAATGAGATCATCCACTTTGAAATACAGGTAAAACCAAAATTATTCTTCTCTGATTTGTGAAACTATACTCTGGGTGACAGAAAGTATAGATAAAGCATAATTCAGTGAGTATATTTGTTTTTCCTTATCCATTTATGATCAAAGAAGACTGGGTGGTATATGAGCTCTAAATTAAAATCTATTGCTTATTCATTCATTTGTATTCTATTTCTTCAGGTAACGGGAGAACGGCTAGCATTTCAGTTGCCATGGACTCCCAAGGCTGTAGGAGAGGCCTCAACCATCTATTTTTTAACAACTTGATATAGATCTCATCACTACAGACCGGGCCCCATCAGTTTGGTAAATAATGAGGGAGAAATTCCAGTTAATTGACCACGAGTTTGATCCTTGGCATGTAGCAAAATGTAAATAGTTGTTTAAATTGTGAGTAACTCAATTACTATCATCAAATCATAACCTGATATCAAGACTATCATCAAATCATAACCTGATATCAAGACACCACATGTTGTACTGTGAAGGATAACCTTCACAATTGGCACACCCACATTTGCATTTGTTAATGTTCTGTTTCGTTACTATTATACACAGGCATAAAGAAAAAACTAGTAACACTCGCCAACAAAAAGGAAAATTGGGACCTGCAGGGCTGGCTTCGGTCGATCCTCAATCACTTTTGGTTCATGTTCATCTTGTGGTGAGAGTGCTGAGGTAAAACCCGGACATATAAAGAATGTATAAAGATAGCCAAGCGAAACTGAAATCCAGTCAGCAGATGACCGAATAGTCTTGTTACAAGTCGTTTTAAAATGTAATATATTCTGTAGGAACTGAAGTGACGGTGGACCTCAGTCCTTCACCACATCTGAAGCACACATGGAAACAAGATGGATTGTAGAAGATAAAAGACTTCTGAACGACCTAGTGCAGTTGACTCACTTCAAACATGCAGGTATGCAGCTTTATGAAACAAGTATGCAACTTTTCAAACTATGTCGTGTTACAGGTGCTTTGGAGGTACCACAACGTTATGCTAAGCTATCTGCCTAAACGACTGCATTTTGGATACGACACCATGGTAGCTCGAACACAGCTAGCCATCATGGACAACAGTTGCAATGTTGGCCGAGAGCAGGCAGAAATTTCTGAAGGTATTGAGATTTCATAAGTAAGTCCGTAATTGTATTTATGTAACAAGGAGAATGTTCTTGACTAAGAAGTAATGTTCTCTGTCTAAGACTTTCAAGATACAGTATGACGTTCCCAAAAACAAAGCAAGGAATGGATAGTCAAGAAGATCTATGAGCCTTCAAGTCAGTACTTCATGCAACACTTTGTGGAATGTGTGTTGGAGAGAAGGGTGAAAAGTGAACCTGAAAATGTAACACATATCCAAAATCCTCCAAACATTGCCACATTGGTGTATACTTTATAAAATAGTGAAAAGAAGTTTGAAAATAGCTTTTTATTTAAACATTTTAACTGAAGCTGAATGCAAAGGTAAGTGGGAAAAGTCAGAATGAGTCCTCTATCTCGCTTGGTTTGAACCCCGCAACTAGTAATAATACGGTGGCACTGTTTTCGAAAACATTGTAGTCAAGCTATATGCGAATTGTACAAATAGGCTCTGACTAGGAAATGCAATACATAAATGTAGCTTACCTTTCTGACAATTGTACATTCAGTCCTTCGGGTCTGGGGCATTTCTTATCTTTGGGACCCAGAAGAAAGTTTCCAGCACAGGTTTATATCTGCAACATGACATCATGACTTTTGCATAAACATAAACGGCACTTTCGAGTCAAGTGGCGTGTTCTCTACGCATTTTGAGCTATCTGCGTGTATGCGTGTATGTCTACGCCATTAACGTCCGAGTGATTCTGCGTGTTTGTACACGTCGTCAAATGTCAGCGCGAAACGAAGCAAAATGTAGATCTACATCTGGGGAGCGATCTTTTTTTTTCCTAGGATGGTAAGGGAACAGTCATAAATGTCATTAACCCCAGTGACGGTTAGGTTTAGGGACGGGGTTGAGGTAAGTCATATCTTTTTTTTCCTAGGATGGTAAGGGAACAGTCATAAATGCCATTAACCCCAGTGACGGTTAGGTTTAGGGATGGGATTGAGGTAAGTCATATATTTATATGTAATAACGTTAAGTCAACGGCGTTCATAAACACGCTGAAAAGCGATTATGCGTCTTGATAGCACGCCAAAAATGGAAATACGAATTGGCGTGTCATACACACGCTACTTCATGAGATCAGTCTGATATATTAGCTGGTGCACTTCATTGTCTTTGATGCAGACCAACGACACATCAGCTTCGTCGACCAAGACATTCAGGCGGGCCATACCAGCTGTGACGAGAAGGTCCCACTCCATGCAGCACCGACTTTCTACCTCCATTGGCATCTGCCTGCATTTGCCACAGGCACACCACCAAGTTCCTGTGATCCTCAGGACAGCTTCTGCCATAGCTTTAGGTTAACGGGACCTCCATAGCCCAAACCTGAGCCTCCATCTCCCTTACACGTAGCTCCTCTTCTACACATTCAGGTTTGAAACAGTGTCCTCGACTGTCAAATAAAAAAAAGTAAAAAAAAAATATTAAAAAAATCGAGCGGGTCATCCAGAATCCACCTTTCATAATCCATTTTAGATGTAAGGATTTTTTGTTTGTTTATTTCGCTACTCCTGGAGCACAGTTGCTTTGCTTATGCTAGCCTTCTGAGAGACTGAGTCCTCAAACAGAAATCAATGTGATTTTACAAAATGGCAAATAAAACACGACAGAAACTGTATTCCGCTACGCTACTTACACATCAACGGACCCTAAACAGAACTAAACACTCGGTGAGTTTCACAGTTTTGAAAAACGAACATTAAGATAGATATGGATAAATAAATATATAAATATTTAGCCTTTTTCATTACATTGAGCTTACCTAAATGTTTATAATTTTTTGTTAATAGTTTATGCAACACATGGAAGCTTGATTTCAATCTTTGAATTAAATTGAAAAAAGTAGCACAAAAAAACACAATAGAATAAAGACACAAATAAAGAGACATTTTGTTTTTGTTTTGTTTTTTTTTTGGGGGGGGGGGCTGTCAGAAATACTCAGTGGTTCAGTTTGGTTGTCATTGTGTTACTTCTACTTTTACTAAAGTAAATATTTATCTGGGTATTTGTACTTTTACTTAAGTACTGAGATGAATACTCAAATACTTCGTTACTTTACTTAAGTACATTTTTCACGTATCTTTACTTAAGTACAATAAATAGTGCCTACTTTTTACTTTTACTTCGTTACATTTTGCAGCAATTATTATACTTTCTACTCCACTACATTTCTACAACTTCTGTTACATTTTCGTTACATTTTCTGATCAGTTTTTCCCCTGCCAAAACGTAATGTTCGTTGCACGTTTGTCTCACCAGTGATGTTTGGTTGCCGTAGATACAGTATATAAACCCGGTCACACTAAATGCGTCTCACACGCAGTGTGTTTATCATGCAACTCATACGCGAAAATTTGTTTTTACGTGCATAGGAAACACACCGTGTGTAATATATGTTTGGTTTGGTTACGATTATGGCAAGCCAAGAGGTTCAGAATTACACCACAAATGAATTGCGTTTACTGCCAAACATAGTTATTAACATATAGTAAGGATAAGCATGATATTGCCTAATTGCAAGCTTGTTTTAGAAATGGTGACATTTTTTTCCATCATTATTGAACATCATTATAGGAGTAGGCTATTAGGTTCAATGAGTTTGGTTGTCATTGTGTTACTTCTACTTTTACTAAAGTAAATATTTATCTGGGTATTTGTACTTTTACTTAAGTACTGAGATTCAGTACTTCCTCCACCACTGGAAATACTACAAAAACTGAATAAAGTAATCCAATGTAAAATAACACTGGATAGTCTTTTTAGTCCAGACTGAATTAATGCTATATTATGTTATGACCACAGAATTAATGACAGACATATGGCTGAAGAACTAGTGCGCGAATCCATTACTGTTTCATTTTAACGTTCTGTCACACACGTTTAATGCTAATTTAAGACATAACTGACTGTCTTTATGAGGTTACTCCAGAGTTGACATAATTTTAACTGTTTTAACTGTTAAAGCGATATAATCCAGGGATAAAACTTTTGTTTCTGGTGAGCTGTTTGTGAGGCGGATTTAGGCTTTACTGTTTGTGCACGCAGTGAAAGACATTTCTGAGAGTGCGCGAGCACGGGATAGTTTTTCATTGCTTGAAATGTTTAAACTGGTAAAACCAATGATAAACGTTAGTTACGATGCAATGCTGGCCCGATTGTGCAAGTGAATATTCCGTCACGTCCCGACTCCTAAACGCGAGTGTGTACCTGCAGTAGCGCTTGCCTACATTTATTTTAAAAAACGATTAATTGAAAAATCTATTTTTTGCCCAGCCCTAATCAATTTATAAATATATCTTAAGTTTTGATCGAATAGGGATGTATCAGTGTCACTGGATCTTGGTAGGGACACGTCCCTAGCGTCCCTACTAAATTCTACGCCCCTGTCTAAATGTTCACTGTAGAAAAACTCTGTTCACTGTAGAACTTAAATATAGTTATTCATTTTTTTTAAAGCAGTTATTTTCTTAACATTAAATGAAACAGGCAACAGAAGGAATATTAGGCTGCTGTCACTTTAAGACCAAATACACAGACCGAATATACTGACTCACATATGGTTTTTCACAACTGTTTACTAACGAATAACCAAGAGAATAGTCGACGAGACAGGAGGTATTTTGATATCATTTTGTGTGCATGTCTCCGTTCAAGTGCAAGTAAACGTGAAAGAAGGATAAATTCAGTGTTTGAGCGCTGTCTAAAATGTGCCTCTCTCTCTCTCTCTCTCTCTCTCTCTCTCTCTCTCTCTCTCTCTCTCTCTCTCTCTCTCTGAGTGCGCATTTCCGCCTCTTCTTCCGCTTCTAAAATAGTTTAAATGTGTAGATTGGCAAGCAAAAAACAAACAAACCATGAGGCCTGGGGCTCGTTCTTCGTACGTTGCTTAAAACATCCGAGATCAAATTAGACATCTAAGATGATATCATCGTGCTAATCATGATCCGGCTAATTTGGTTCTTCGAACACACCTGTTGTTTATGATTAGTATAGCTGGATTGAGTCATCTGAGATAACTGCGCGTTCTCACATTGGTTTAAAAGGGAACATGTATCGATAGCAGAACTACAGTGGCCGAGAGAGTTCAACGTGTTGCAACCTAAAGAAGACGCATGCAAATACAAAAAAACGTGTGCAAATATAAAAACGCATGCAAATACAAAAAAACATCTGCAAATTAAGAAAAACATCTTCATCAGTTCCACAACACACGTGTGCTCCAAGTACTCACAACACAACCAAATACACAAAACGCGCTGCAAAACCTCACAACGCAACCAAATACAGAAACGCTGCAAGTAACACAGAGCACAACGGAAATGTTTTTGGGGAACCAAATAAGTGACGGACCCAACTGGGACTTGCTTATTGCTCGTGAGCTTCCCTATGCCCTACTCAAAGGGCAGATGGCAAAGCTCTTCAAATGGGAATTTGGCATGAGCATGACACTAGTGTGTCATTAATGTAGCCGTTTGGAACTTGATGAAGGGAGCAACAACAGACAACGTAATGTAATTATTTTTACCTAGGATGTTCCTATGACAACGCAGCACTTTGTCCATCAGCTGTATAGCTGTTCTGACGACAGAAATATAATGATTAACATAACGATTGCAAATAAATTATTTATTTTTTATTTTTACTTTATAAAAATCTGTTAAAATATCCATTTTATATATCTGTATGTCAGTGCCATACATTACCTAACATTTTTAGGAAACTTTTCTTATGAAAATTTAAACATAA